ACATATTAATGGCGTTGATAAAAAAGGCAATGCATACCTTCTAAGATAACTTTCATAAAGCTGCCGACAAAAATGCATCAGGCTGTTTTCTCCACAGCGTGTAGTAAATAAAATGGTTTTCTCTGTTTTTAAAGCTTGAGATGGCTTTTTACCATTAAAAAATCACATGTTAAGCTGGCTGATCATCGCTGATGTGCAGTGTTTTTGGAGCATGTTATCAGAAATGTTCTTGCGCTTGATAAAAAATAACGCTACGAACAAGCTACGAAAGACTTAAAATAAGATTATTGTAAAAAATAATACAACTGTTAATAATATTTTAAAAACTTTAAATGAAAGGAAGCCAAATTTGCCAAGAACCAACGATGAATGTCGATCGTTTTTAGTACTACATTTCTTTTGCATTGTTATGGATGTTCGTCAGAGTGACCTTGAGGTGTTGAGTCCGTTGAGGCCGTTGAGTCACTGTTTTGGATTATTGCGTTGTGCGCCTTTGTGAGCGTTGACATTGAGCGTGAAATTATCGTTATTCGCGGTCGAAAATTAGTTCAAGAGGACAGCCTGACAGTTATTGGTAAATCCTTTTTACACTCTGCTCTGCGCATCGTTGTGGTGGTCACCATGAAGTGGCAATACAAAGAAGAACACCCGTTTGAGAAGAGACGGGCTGAGGGCGATAAAATCAGAAAGAAGTATCCTGACAGAGTTCCTGTAAGTACCTATTCATTCTGCTCGTTTCTGTAATTTTTGTAGTTTGCTTTTTAAGTGCTATTCACGACGACAGGCACGTAGCCAGGATTTTGCTCAGGGAGGGGCCACAGGTCTCGGATCTCCATAGGCGCGGGAGCCGGGGGGGCAGTGGGGGCAGCTTGCCCCCCCAACTCTGGGGCCGTGGGGGCGGTGCCCCCACAGCTTTGAGACGGAATACCACACTTTTTTTGCAAATGTTTTCTTTTTTGTTGAAAAAGCCGAGGGATGAAAAACAAGTGGCCTAAAACCGGTGAGAAAACTAGATTTGGGGGTACCCTAGGTTGATCTCTATTATGGTGTGCCCCCCCAGTCGGAAAGTAGTTCCCGCGCCCCTGCGGATCTCGGCCTAGTCTCGTAGGTAGGTACCTACCAGTACAGCCCACCGCTAAAGTAATGTAGGGTTTTACCAATCTCAACAGTTGGCTTTGACTGGCGATTGTTTAATGCAGAGAGATCGAAAAGAAGATGTCAATAGCTAAAGTTCCAGCTGCAAGGGTGACAAATGACAATACATATAAGCTACATTCAAAGTTTCATTGTAGTCTGGCTAATTGTTCCTAAGCTTCAGAAGCAGAACATACCCATGACTGAAGTCTGAAACCCCACATTACTTCTGCTGTGGACTGTACCTACTTCAAAAGGAAGATTCCTTGGATTTGGCCCACTATTTTTGGGGTATGGTGCAGCTGTTTTATTTGTTTTTATCTTTTATTTAATTTTAGTTTATTTTTCGCTTTTAGGGGTGGCATGGCCCCTATGCCCCCCCCCCCCGCCCCCTGGCTACGTCCCTGATTCATGATGAATAATCTGTTGACTTCAACATGGTATCTGATAGCTACCAAATTCATGATTGATCCATGCACTGCTCATTGAGAACGTGACCAACAGGCCAAGTGGCCTACAGAATTCTCAAATATGTTATGGTATGGTTATGGTATGGACATTTGGCATTTGGGACTTGTAGATGTATGGCCAAAGTTGTGAATTGAAATTGAAATCAAAATATCCATGGCATTTTAGGGGAGGGCACACTGTATCATTTAGATCAAGATCATATCATAGTCGGCATAGATTGACTTTAGCAATTGCTAGTTAGTGTGTTCTGCAGTCCCAATAAACAAATAACAGTTGGCTTAAGGTGTTGCATTGTGAATAGCTTGAGCTTACAAAATCGCTGTCTTGGTCTACTCCCAGGTGATTGTGGAGAAGGCCCCTAAGGCAAGGATTGGAGACCTGGACAAGAAGAAGTACCTGGTGCCATCAGACCTGACTGTGGGCCAGTTCTACTTCCTCATCAGGAAGCGGATCCACCTGCGGCCAGAGGACGCCCTCTTCTTTTTTGTCAACAATGTGATCCCTCCGACCTCAGCGACCATGGGCACGCTATACCAGGTCAGTGCAGTGGGAGGCTGGGCAGTCAGCCTTTACAGAGCTTGCAGTCAACCTGTATGGAATGGATGTTTCATATGGATACTGAAATATCTGTGTGTAATGTGACACTGACATTTGATAAGAACCTGTTCTCAGGGATGCTGGTTATTGTTAGGACACTTCCAACATCTATGATTATGTTTGTGACTTATACTTATTGCCTGTATTTACAATAAAAGCTCTTGGAGTTCCTATCAGCAATAATGTTAAAGTTAAAAACTAAGGTTACATAAACGAGCACAAGACATACCATGTGTGATCCTTGTAAAGTTTCTTTCTGCTCACAATAATTTGGGATTGATCTTTTTGCTCTCCAAATTTGTTGCAAGAACCTCATCAGATTAAGTTAGTCAGCAGTTGTTTCATATTCCTGTTTTCTACATCATAATGTTGATACCTACACTATATGAAGTTTACTTCCCAGTGTAGTAACAACGTCACCTTACTCCTATTTGCACGTTTCAGGAGCACCACGAGGAGGACTTTTTCCTGTACATCGCCTACAGCGACGAGAGCGTATACGGTCTGTAGATGGGCGGCGGGCTGTCCTCGCGCGCCTGCTCAGGAGAGGGGCCCCGCCCGGGGCGAGCATGGCGGGCGCACGCGGCGCGCACCGCGGTACTGCCGAGCCGCGCTCCCGGCTAGCTGCGGCGACACGGGCGCGCCGGAATGTTGTCAGACGTAGGCTTGCACAGGACCAGAAAAGCAAATATAAAAACGGTGATATTTGACCGCATTTGCGCGTTTCGGCTATTGTGTGGTTGATTTAGTTAGCGGCGTGTTTCTTTGTTGCGTGTTAGCGATAATGGGACACTTTGGGTTTCACGCCTTTGAATACTAGCTGTCACGTGTGTCCCGTTTTACGCCTGGGAGCCTGGGCGGTCATGATAATCCCGTGCGTTTATATATTAAGATAAGTGTGGGCTGTGGACACGGTGGGCGCTAATCCCAAGCTAGGTCCACGGAGCCGCGTTCTTTAGTTTATCGCGCGATAGTGCGGGACTCTGTGTATTCGATCGCCGCGGATCTTGACGGTAACTTAGCAAATTGTTGTCTTTCCGTGTGGCGTGACTGCGAGCTACGGATGGTGCCGACGGTCTACAGGCTGTCTGCTAGTTTTGCCAAGACAGCGTCGACGTTGGAATTTTCACGCACCCGGCGGATCCCTCCTGAACAATTGGCGCGGCTTCATGCGATGACTCTATTCCGTTGGCTCGGAAACTTATCAGTTCGCTTAGTTTATGTGATAAAATACACCTAAAAACACCACCCCGTGTGCTTCATTTTTTATTGTAGGTCGTGGCGCATCGTTCGGATAGATGACTCAAGTGCAAGATAGGCGCGCATGATTTACTCACTCGTCTACAAATCATGGCGTGACCAGTAAAACTGTATCCTCAAGAATGCCTCGCACTATAATGACTGACATGCTTTACAAGTGCTGCCCTTTCATCAGCTACCTATCCATGACCATATTTAGACACGACACGTCCGTCTGCCAAATGCATGACACGCGATGTTTTGCCTCCATAGGTCGCTCTGCATGAGACCGGAGAGCGCTTTGTTGGCATTGATGGTTTTTGTGTGGAGCCGGCGAGACAAAAACGCTGGCTCAGCCTGTGGGCTGTGGCCCGAGGCACGGCCATTCGATACTGGGCTTCGTGCTCTGTGGTAGGTATCGGATGTGAAAGGAAGTTTGATATACGATGAGTTCTCACTGGCGATCGTTGACGCGACTGAGTCTCCAGCGCCACTTAGCGCTCACATGGCACCTGTTGAATCTCAATGTTAAAATCTAAGGCATTTTTTACCACATTTACCACAACCAACCATGCTCCCGATCTCAGTGTATGTTTTTCAGTAACGTGGCCAGCAGTATCTCACGAGATGCAACACGCATTGCAGAGAGCCAGATACTGAAGCTGGCGTGTGCATGTAAGGGTCCACGGGCGTCTCAGATCGTCCCTGTTTCTGAGCTCCGCCCAAGGTCCCGCAGTATCCTCTCACAAAAACCTCGGGCCGCGCCGCGCCGCCAGCGCTGCCAAGGCCCGGAGCTGGGAGCGTGCTGAAACCTGCGCTCTGTGCCAGGAACCAGCTGATCCGGCGGCCGGCCCGTCGTGCCAGCCAGCGGCCCGAGTGCACGATCAAGGTCGCCTCGGTGGCGCCGCCTGGGGTGTGCGGTCGGCAGCGTGAGAGGCACGGCAATGCACGGACGCACAGGTGTTTCCCTCCCTCCGTGGCTAAAAAGAACACCAAATGTCGCCCACGTTTGTTCAGCGACCCTCTGTTCTCCGTTTGGGTGTGGATCCCGGGTCAATGCCCTTTGAAATGACGTCGTAACAGCTGACCCGCTTTTTCCTCATAAAACTGGGATCTCAGCCGTCAGCGTATGGTCCAGTGTGACGCAATACTACGTCACCGTATGACGTATGTAGGCACGCGCTGAGTCACCACCCGGCCTGACCGGTTTCAGCTACTCGTTTGGAGGCGGTAGATTCACGTTCAGAGGACCTTCGTGGGCCTGGATATCTATAGTTGGGCTCGCTCGTACAAGTTTTGACTCGTCCCGAGGCGGAAGACCCGTCTTTGTCCCCGTATAGTACCGCAACTCTGATCTAATGGAACAAAATCGTGTGTACGGCGTTAACACCGTATTTTTCTATTGCGGTGAAGACATTTGAAAAGCTATTGATATAAATGTGCATTGTGCAGTAACTCGGTGTGGGTGTAATCAGTAGGTACTGGCGGTACTGCATATAGGAACGTTCACCTCGGGCACGGGTTTGCGACTGAAAATGGAAATGTCCAGTTTTTTTTTCTCACATCAGGTGTATTAAGAAACAGTGCTTTTCAACACACGTACCTAGACCCTAGATACGTGGACACTAGAAAGGTACACATCTGAATACGATTTGTACACAAGTCATACCACAATGCTCGACCTAGATAGATGCTGGTGGAGACGAGAGCCACAACTTTCCACACTATGATGACCAATCGCTCTCCTCAAACACAGTCATTCAGATGATACACAGGATGCCTGTTAAACCACAACGCACAAAATGACAGATACGTTCCTCGTCTTCACCTACCTACCACAGTCTTTATGTACAACGCAAACGATGCCAGCTTCGCATCAAACTCGGCGAAAGTATGAACACATTCATTCGCTAGCACAAAGTAACAGGCATCTCGCTGGCATGTGCGAAGCTCACTTAAAAACCTCCAATGATGCCCAGAACTCTCAATCACATGCGGCACCAGCAGAGTTTTAACAGTTCTCACTCCGACCCGGCTGCTGCGGTCGCTCACAGCAACTCCAGATAGATGGGTCGGTTCAGCATCTGGCGCCGGTTGAGTCGTTTCATGGCCGCCATCGACTCCGCCCCGCTGTTGAAGGCCACGCGCGCTTCGCTCGACGGCAAGCCGTGCTCGTTGTATCTGCGGATCACCTGTTCGGGCCGCACGCCGAAGTCGCCGAAAAAGTACAGGATGTCGTCGGCACTGGCGCGGAAGGGGATGTTGGTAACACTGAGAACGCACCCGGGCCGGCCGAAGCCGTCCACCGGTCCGCCGCCGCCGCCGCCGCCCCGGCCGCCGCGCCCGCGACCACGACCGCGGGTCATGGGCGGCCGCCCGAGCCCGGGGAAGCCCCCGCCGCCGCGTCCGCCGCCGAACCGCGAGCCCCGGCCGCGGGGTGGGTAGCTCTCCTCCTCTCGGGGATAGTCGCCGGACTCCTCGTCGTAGCCGTATCCGTCGTCGCCGTTGAAGTCGCCGCCGCCGCCGCCGCCGCCGGCGTCGTCCCCGATGGCGGCGCGGACCTCGTCACGAGAGACGGGGCGCACCGACAGCTCGGCCGTGCCCATGTACTGCTGGTCCTTGGTTAGCGCCCGCTCCGTCTCCGCCGGGTCGGCGAACTCGCAGTACGCCTCGCCGCTGGGGTTCTGGAACTCGTCCAGCAGCAGGTGTAACTGCTGCGGCAGCAGGCCCACGTCCGAGAAGAAGTCCACCACCATCGACTCCGTCACGGCCGGCGGCAGGCCCTTGATGTGCACGCACACCTGACCGTTGGCAGAACGCCCCGGCGGCTTCTTGTCAGCTGGAGAGGGTGATGGTTCTGGCTTGTCTTTCACCGGTTCTGGTTTCTTTGGCGTAGAGTCCTGCCTCTTGAAAGCCTCCGTCGGAGCGTTTTTCGAAGGTGTGTCATCCTGTTTGGACTTGTTCTCGGCTGTCTCGGCCGGTTTCGAGTCGTCCTCTGTGCCGTTGTTGTCGTCCTGGCCGGAGTTTTGTTCATTTTCCTGCTCGCCGCCGTCCTGTGCAGAGTGCCGTCGGTGTCTGTCCCGGCCGCCGGAGTGCTCACGGTTGGGTCGGCGGTCGGGCGGCGGCCCGCCGGGCGGGCCGGGCCGGGGACCGCCCGCCAGCGGCGGCTGTCCCGGCATGCCGTGCTGGCCGCTGTCCGCAGCCGGCCCGATGATGGGCGGCTCGTGCAGCGTCTGGCGCGACCAGTCGTACTGCGACTTGGAGCTGAACATGAAGCGTAGGTTGCGCGCGCTGACCATGGAGCCAGTCAGCTGCTCGATGGCCGCCCCCGCCGTCTCAACAGAGTCGTATAACACATACCCCACACCCGTCCGCTTGCCGGTGCTGTTGCGCTGCAGCTCGAAGAACATCTCGACGAACGGGAAGTCGCGCATCAGGTGAATCATGTCCTCCGGCGTGGCGAAGTAGGAGACGTTCTCCATGCGCACGAACGGAGACGGTTCGTTACGCCTGCCGCCCTTCTCTCCGCCCTCGGCGTCCGGCGGACCGCCGCGGAACCCGGGCCCGAACGGCCGGCCGGGCGGACCGCCGTGGGGACCGGGCGGACCTCCACGAGGACCAGGGGGACCTCCGTGAGGACCAGGGGGTCCCAGCGGGCCGGGCGGACCCGGAGGACCTCCAGGAGGGCCTCGCGGACCAGCGGGCGGTCTGCGGCCGGGCGGACCGAACGGCTCCATGGGCGGCCCGCGCGGATCCTCGTAGCCCTCGTAGCTGTCGTCGAACTCATCCCCCTCGTAGGGATCGTGGTAACCGTCCTCCGACATTTTCACGTCCTCCATCTCGTGCTCTGGCAGCTCGGCGTCCTCCATTTCGTGTTCGGGGATCTCATCCTCCGGGTCTTCTGGGTGGTTCATGCCCGAATCGAGCCGGGACATGGGGCTGTCACGGCCCATGGGCCCTCCGCCGCGGCCCATCGGACTCTCGCGGCCCATCGGGCTCATTCCGCGACCCATGAAACCTCCATCGCGGCCCATGGGACCTGCACCACGGCCCATCGGACCATCACGGCCCGGGAAGCCGCCGCCGCGACCCATGGGGCCTCCGCCGCGGCCCATCATGCCTCCTCCACGACCCATAAATCCTCCGTCGCGGCCCATCGGTCCATCGCGACCCATTGGACCATCGCGACCCATTGGACCATCGCGACCCATTGGACCATCACGACCCATCGGACCATCGCGACCCATTGGACCGTCGCGGCCCATCGGTCCATCGCGACCCATTGGTCCATCGCGACCCATCGGACCATCGCGACCCATGGGACCATCACGGCCCATAGGACCATCGCGACCCATGGGACCATCACGGCCCATAGGACCATCGCGGGCCATCGGACCATCACGGCCCATAGGACCATCGCGGCCCATAGGACCATCACGACCCATTGAACCATCGCGGCCCATTGGTCCATCGCGGCCCATCGGTCCATCGCGGCCCATCGGACCATCGCGGCCCATTGGTCCATCGCGGCCCATCATGCCTCCGCCGCGGCCCATTCTGTCCATCAGGCCCGGCCTGCCCATCATATCCCTCGGACCGGACTGGTCCTGCTGCTCCATGCCCTTGGGTCGGCCCATCGCGTCTCCGGGGCCCTGCATCATGTCGGGCCGTCCCACGTCGCCCATCAGAGACGGCGGGCCACCGAACGCTCCGCCGCGTCCCAGCGACTCGGCTCGGTCCAGCAGGCCGCGCATGGGGCCGCGCGCGCCGGCCCCGAACATGCCCTTGTCACCGCCGGCCGAGTCACGGCCAGCGCCGCGGCCCATGGCGAACTCGCCCTCCATCGGGCTGTCGTGTCCAGTGGGCGGCGGGAAGCCGCGCGCGTGCTGATCGGACACGGGGCCGGGGCCGCCGCCGAATGGAGGGAAGGGCTGGTCGTGCGCGCCCGGCGGCGGCCGGCTGAACTCTCCCGGGCGGCGGTCACCGAACGGCGCCGGCTGGTCGCGGCCGGCGTCCAGCTCGGGCCGTCCCGTCTGCGGCCGCTCCAGCAGCCCGGTGGCGCGCATTGCCAGGCTGCGGCGGGCCATGGCCAGCTCCGGCGGCACGTCGTCGCCGCCGCGCGCCGCCTGATCCGGCCCGGCCGACGGCGGCCCGCCGGCAGGGTGCTCCAGCAGACCCTTGCGCGGCTCCGGCACGCCCGGCTTGTCGTCTCTGCCGGGCGAGCGAGCGCGCGGCGGGCCGTTATCAGAAGAGTTCCGACGTGGCCCCATCTCGGGACGGTACGCGTCGATGGCCTTGGCGAACTCTGCGCCGTCCAGAGGAGTCACCACCACCCTAGCGGCGCGGATGAAGCTGCCGGACCGCTCCAGGCCCTTGAGTCGATCGTACATGGAGCGGAAGTTGACGTAGGCAGTGCCGGTGCGCCGGCCGCGCTCGTCGTGGATCATCTTGATGCCGCTCTGGCCGACGTAGATTCCTCGGAACAGGTCGCGCACGTCCCGGTAGGACGCGTGCATGGGCATGTTCCGCACGGCGACCGCGCCGCCGTCGTTCTGATCCTCGGACGGCGGCATGGCACGCACGCCCTCTGGTGGGGACGGTGCCGGCGGGGCGGCCGCTGCCGGTGGCGGCTGGTTCATGAAACCGTTCGGGGGCACCCCAGGGCCGGACAGCATGGACTGAGAGGTTGTCGGCGGCGGCTGCTGCTGCTGCTGTTGTTGCTGCTGGAGCTGCTGCTGTTGTACCTGCTGTTGTACTTGCTGTTGGAGCTGTTGCTGCTGCAGGTGATGCTGCAGTAGCAGCTGCTGCGGCTGCGGCGGAATCTGCGGCTGGTTCGGCGGCGGGTCCATGGGCAGACCCTTCTGGAAGCGCAGCAGTCTCTGCTGCAGCTGTGTCGGAGTCATGAGCGGCTGCTGCGGCTGTGCCGGCGCCGCGTCCCAGCGGTTCGGCTGGGAGGCCGGCGTGGTGATCATCCCCGATACCGGGGTCGGGCCGGCCTGAGATATCCCGGACGGCGTCGGACCGGCCTGAGACGTCCCGGACGGCGTCGGCGTGGAGGCGCCAGACGAGGAGGCCGCCAGCTGCTTGTCCCGCTCGTTGGGCCGCTCGCCGAGCAGACTGCTACGCGCCGCCGGTGTCGGCAGTAGTCGCCCGGGCGGCTCGCTCCGCTCCTGAGAGCGGCTGTCCCTGCTGTCGCGGCTCTCCCTGCCGCCGCGGTCACTGCGCCCGCCGCGGTCGCTCCTGTCTCGGTCCCGTCGCGACGAGCGGTCTCTGGACCTACTGCGGTCCCGGCGGCTGCGGTCCCGCCGGTCTCGGGACCGGGACCGCGAGCGGGACCGGTGCGAGCGCCGACTGCCCTTGTCGCGGTCGCGGCGGCTCCGGTCGCGGTCCCGAGAGCGGGAGCGCGACCGTCGGCGCGTGGAGCGGCCGGCGCTGCCACCGCGGTCCTGGGGACACACAGACAGACGGACAGTGTCAGAATAGACGGCGGATAAATTAGGGACCGATTTCGACACACAGATAGGCTGAGGGACAACGCTAGATTGGTCTCGTGGCACACTGCAGACTGAACATACACGGGTGGATTTCCAACCAATATCAGGCAGCAGATAGGCAAGGAACCGATTAGGGAGATGAATATCGATTATTGTAGCATTTCATACTTTTCAATTTCAACTGCTTCAACGCTGTTATTATGCATGAGATGACCAGATATCTACTTGAACCCGTCTTTAATTGGCTATGACCTGTTGACGGTGATACCAAATACCAAATATAAAATATACTTATGTTATGTAAAAAGATCTTAAACGTACAAAATACTGGACATTCCTTGAAATGCATCCATTCTGATCGAAGTCATGACTTCTGACTCGCGTTTCCTACCATATTTTAACGGTTAATAAATCGAACCGTCTACATATAGGTATGCCCAATGTGTGCAGGTTGTTCACTATTTTAGGTATGACCCTCGAAAACTCTGAAACTTTCGATCCCCATCATCGGTCTGGAACGTTTCACAGCGGTTGCAATCACGACAACAATCTGCATTCGATGTGGAGTGATACGGCGCTTTGCGGATGATATTGGGAAATAACTGCACGCGTCGCTATGGGTGTTCACTGTTCATGCTTTCATGCTCGGCATATCTATGATCATGCTGTGTGTTACAACTCGATTACACCGTTCACAATATGCCGACTCGGACACGTCATAGTAATGCACTTTGCGGAATGCAGCTTCTAGCGCGACGGCACACGACCCATCAGCGAGCGCATCGGCTCCCGCGCGCGGCCGGGCCCGTTGCTACTTATATGCCGGTCGCTAGATGGCTCTGCACACGAGCGCCTGAGAGGTATGCTGCACCGCATAACAGCAACTGCATGGAGCGATGAGCCACATCTCTAACGCTGCGCACGGGACGGTGAGAGGGGGGGGGGGGGGGGACGGGAGCTTTCATGTGTGCATCTGTCATCTGAGCTTATTCATTTGACATTTGGTTTACTTCACAAATACGAAAATAATAAAACAGAAAAAGAGCACACAGAGCATCCGAAAAACATCTTCGCATTAAAAAAGAGCGATGCCATGAACTGTCGTAATAAACATGGTAGTGCAATAGATAGGGACGGATCGAAGTTAAGCTTGCTACACAAAAAGGTTCGATATTTGCCCTTCAATGGCCCATTCAAATATTTCAACGTTTAAAGGTAATTATTGTTCTAGCGGTTTAGCACCCAGGATCTCTGAATTTCAGACTCCAGTCCAACTAAAAAATTGCCCAGAAATGCTCGCTTCTCAATCTCTCCTATACATTCTCACTTTAAATGTAATATGTATGCTGTACTTGCGACAGCATGCTACATTCCTAATAGGGTAACTGTGGGGAAAACGCACCCCTGGGTTAAACGCCTCCCCGAAAAAAGTCGTATTTCTTATCGAACGATGGGTGTTTTATCCTGTCTTTCAGAACAGTCAGCTGCTTGTTTACGTAGGTCTCTATTTCCGTTTCTGCGTCTTGAGGAGCAGCGTGGGTAGGTGCTGATGTTGGTTTTGGGTGTTGTTTTTGTTGTTTTTACAGAAGATTCCTAATATTTTGATGCCCTCTTTATATCACAAAACTTGCTATTGTGCACATCACTCAAAACCGCGTTTTATTGTCATTCTGTTGAATTTATTATGCTGCGCGGCGTTAGTGGGGCGTTTTTTGTCAATATTTTGTTGACCGGAAATGGAGTAGATGGGGAAAGACGCCTACTCGATGCATGGGACAAGACGCCCCCAGTTTTCTGAAAGGGGGCGTTTTGCACGATGGTGAGAGTGCAGGGTAGCGCCCTGTAGGTCGGGGCCGAAAAGGCCTCTCCCTGTCCTTTTTTTACTGATATATCCTAAACGACTGCAGATATCGTCACCAAACTTTCAGGACTCCTCCGGGCATCCATTTTACACATTGTAACAAAATTTTATTCCAAAGACTATGATAGGTTGACCACAAATGACGTCAGAATGACGTCAAGTTCTGCCATGTTCATCATGTTCTGTTGATGGATATGGTGGGGGCGCTTTGCACATGGGTGTGGGCGTATTACCCAGGGTGTGGGGCAAAACGTCCTTTTGTAAGGGTATGCGGAAAACTTTCTGGGGGGTTAAATACCACACGCAGGTGTCTTTTCTTGGTCTCAAAGCGTAGTAAAAAGAATGAGCTACATGATGGTGCCCAAAGGTTTGAGTAATCTGTGTTAGGTTGAGTGTCAGAAGGTTTCGCGCTGCGCACTTTAGGGCATTTTTGACCTATTCCCCCTAATCATCGCAGCAATATTATTCCCGCTACGAGAGACCTCTCTGATCTTTATCACTAGGTTACCCCTACTTAAACTACTCAGGTTGATATTCATATTTCATCATCTGAGTTGTTCTTCAAACGAATTATGGAGTCTGCTTCCATAAAACGGCTCATTTTATGAATTAAAATAAACGAACTAGCTTGAATTGTTCTGCGATGAACGACCTCAACAATGAACAATTCAAACACTTCGGAATAAGGGGAGGGGGTGCCACCCCTCTGTAGTTATTTTTTTTTCGCGATGGCTCGGAACGTGATGGCGATAGAGCTGAAACTTAACGAACCTGACCCTACCGACCATATCGGATCTTTGGACACCATCCGCATTTTTAGGCTAGGTCAGGTCACTGACCTATGACGTCCTAGGTAAGTAGACCTCGGCACGATCCTAAAATGTCGCAGCTTCGCAATGCCCTCAGTGCCAGAGGAGCTTTCACAGGGAGATGAAACTTGCAGGGCCTAGTATAACTATTCTATTTTATTTTTATCCTCTAGAGGCCTCGCAAGTTGCATATTTCGGATGTTTCGTAAAAGTCACCCGAAGGCAGGTCATCTAGGTATGTCAGTTGCAGACATGTGCATGGATCCGAGTAATGGATCTATGATCTCAGTGGATCTCGAGGCAAATTGTAGGTTCGGATCTATGATCCCACCGAATCCGGCGTGAAAAAATTGTCCTGGATCTATGATCTCACAGGATCTGACAATAAACCAAAAGCATGGATCTATGGTCTGAGTGGATCCCACCATGAACAACATTTGAAACCAGGCTTCCAAGTGTTTCTCTGTCAATAAGTGCCATTAAACTATGGATTATGACGTGTTATCACATAAAAGCACTAAATAAGAACGTTTGTGAGTTATAACGAGTGATCTTTTGGGATTTCTGTGTTGACCAAAAATAAATGAGGATCTATGATCCCACTGGATCTCAATCAAAAATACTAGACTCGGATCTATGATCCCTACGGATCTCTCGATAAATTAAAGAGCTGTATCTATGATCCCGACGGATCCGAGATCAGGATCCGTGGGATCAGATCCCAGATCCATTTTCTCGGATCCATGCACATGTCTGGTCAGTTGTGACCTCGCCATTATAGGCCTATGGGGGGGGGGGGGGGTATGGACTATGGAGTGTTATTTTGGCGCCGTGAATGATCTACCTATAACTACCTCAAGCACTGAAACCGTGATTTCATGCACTCGTTACAAAGTCCGATGCTTCACTTTTACACTGTTGTCCTTGCATGACGCTACTATAGTCATAGAAGTTTTTCGTCAATAACCTCCGATCAAACTGAGCTTGCGAGTCGAGAAAGCCACCACCAATGGACTCGGCAAGAACTGCCAAATCGAGTGATGTGCGATATGACAGGGGTGAAACGGCCAAGGGGAGTCGTACCCGCCCCATCCCTCGACCGGGACGTATGTAGAAAACCAGTAGGTCCGGCTAGAGTAGCTTACACCTTAACCCTCGCCGGCCGAGGGGGGGGGGGGGCGGGTGCCGCCCCCCCCCCATAGGGCTTTTTCGCGATAGCTCCGAACACGCTGGCGATAGAGAGCTGAAACTTGGCATACCTGACCTTTGATCCAAGCCGCATCTTTTGACACCAACCGCATTTTTGGGTCAGGTCAGGTCACTGACCTATGACGTCATAAGTGAACCTCTGCACGGTCTTCAGATGTCGCAACTTCGCAACGCCCCCCTCACTGCCAGAGGAGATGTCACAGGGAAATGAAACTTGCAGGATCTAGTATCCATTATGAGTCTCACAACTTGTATATCTCGGATTTTTCCTAAAGGTCATATGAGGTCAGGTCATTTTCGTGACCTCACCATTATAAGTCAATGGGGAAAAATGAAAACTGCTATTCTGGCGCCGGGAACGATCTCCAACTATCTCAGGCACACAGAATCGTGATTTGATGCACTCCTTGCAAGGTTAGATGCGTCACTTTTGCAATGTTGACCTTGCGTGACGTCATTTATGACGTCATCAAGGTCATATTAGTTTTTCGTCAATAACTCTTGATCAAATTGAGCTAGTGAGTCGAGAAAGCCACCAATGGACTCAGGAAGACTTGCCGAATCGAATGATATGCGACATGACCCCTTTCGACCAGCTTCGTGACCTGGGGGTGCTGACCTGACCTTGACCTGAGGTCAACACCCCAAGTTGACCTGACCCGGACAAAAAGTATATCATTCGACGCGCCTGAGCGAGGCGAACACGATGCTGCCAAAATCGTGGCTCTGCGGCCGTTTTTTGCGAAGTTATTCACCAAAAACTGAACCGTACCCTGGGGCACTTGACCTGACCTCAGAGGTCACCGGTTGACCTAGGACCTTAAAATCGGGTACCAATCTCTGCGTCTCGTAACGGCGCACACGCTCGTTTTTTCCGCGACGCGCTAGCTCCGCCAGGGGCGAAACGGCGAGGGGGGTCGTACCCGCCCCCCCCCTCGGCCGGCGCGAATGTAGAAAACCAATAGGTCCCGCGAGGGTTAAGTGCTCACCTATTATAATCTATAACGCGTTTCTTTACATTACATCCTTGAGCATTCCCGACTGTCAACAACTGCTGCGTTTGCTACGACTAGCCGCTCCAAGTTTATCCAATTATAGGGCAGCGGGTGCACAAGGCACACTCAGCAATCCGACTCTGGCAATCAATACAGCCTCTCCTACAGGCATGTGGGCGCGGCGGATCGGTTATCGGAGGACAACGCAGGCGAGATGTCGGTCTGAGGATCTCCAATATTAGTTCAACTGAAACATGTCCCATATCTAATGAACTGAGGTCGTCAATGGGGACACCACAAACTAATGAGCCCCATCAAAATTCAGGAACGAAGAAATTCGTGCAATCGCATGTCGTTAGTTATCCCGCGCCCCACTGGGAGGGGGGGGGGGCTATTTATAGCCCCCCTCCCGTTTTTCTGCAATAACTTTCAAACCGCTTGACGTATCGACGCCAAACTTTTAGTACCTTCGGCTGCATCAATTTGCCACCTTGTGTCAAAATTTGAACTTCGTACCTACCATAGGTCGGCCGGAAATGACGTCAGAGTGACGCCATGTTCGGCCGATTTCGACGCAAAACATTGAACCACGGCAATCGCTCCCAAGAGCTCAGTTTTTAAGCTAGATCCAATTTCTTTGCATGAGAGGACTCAGAATAGACTGCGCTATCAAACTGCTATCTCGGATTTTCGAAATTCTGAAAGTTTCGAAAATTTTATATAATACATTCAAAATTTATATTTTTACATTTTTTTTCAGAAAAATTTCGACTTTTCGAAAAAACCGGAATATATGTGATAGAACGCATTATTATGACTAACTCTACCAAGTTTTAGCTAAACTAGAGGTACAGGTTTACGCGATAACTGTATGTTTTGATATGTATGATAAACGGATGCATTAATTTGGGTGTAGAAACTTGCATTTTTATTGGTATTATTTGTGTAGAACTGGGTAACTGCTTTTAATTGAACTATAAAGTATGATGGTGATGCATGCGAGTTGTTCGAGCCCTTAATAAGTTAGGATGTTACTCAATTCAACCCTACCCTACCCTACCCTACCCTACCCCTAACCTACCCTACCCTACCCTACCCCTACCCTACCCCTACCCTACCCTAACCCTACCCTACCCTACCCCTACCCTACCCTGCCCCTACCTCTACCCCCACACTACCCTACCTTACCATACCCTACCCTACCCTACCCTACCCTACCCCTACCCCTACCCCTACCCTACTGTACCCTACCCTACCCTACTCTACCCCTACACTACCCTACCCTACCCTACCCTACCCTACCCTACCCTACCGTTACACTACCCTACCCTTCCCCCTTACACTACCCTACCTTACCCTACCCTACCTACCCCTACTCCTACCCTACCCTACTCCTAACTTACCCTACCCTACCCTACCCTACCCTACCCTACCCTACCCTACCCTACCCTACCATACCCTACCTTACCCTACCCTACCCTAACCTACCCTACCATACCCTACCCTACCCTTACACTACCCTACCCTACCCTTACCCTACCCTACACTACCCTAACCTACCCTACCCTACCCTACCCTACCCCACCCTACCTCTACACTACCCTACCCTACCCTACCCCTACCCTACAATTCCCTACCCTACCCTACCCTACCCTACCCTACCCTACCCTACAATCCCCTACCCAACCCTACCCTACCCTACCCTACCCTACCCTACCCTACCCTACCCTACCCTACCCCTACCCTACCCCACCCTACCCTACAATCCCCTACCCAACCCTACCCTACCCTACCCTACACTACACTACCAGCGACAGTCCAAGTTTCAGCTAAATCGGCCCAGAAACGGCTGAGATATTGCAAAAACAAATTAATTGTATTTACTGGCGAATCCTCTTGGCGAGCGGTGCCTTGTGTCGGCCTTTGTTGTCAAAGGTCAATGACCTGCCGGCCCACTCAGTTTTTTAAGCGAACAACTGAGCCTAAAGCACGTGCCCTCTGCTCGGCGCCGGTCGCGGCCCCACCACGTGCACACCGCTGAACCCACCCCCTCGAAAATTTAATACGACAAATGAGTGCACGCGTTCGACTTGCAGTGAAAATTTCACCCCCGTAGCCCTTACCGTTCCCGAGCAATAGCGTGTTTTTCCCAATTCTAATGTTAACCCTATGGGCACGCGAGCACGCGCCGCGGGCGCACCCCCGGCCGCATCATGTCCAAAATTTAATACGACCTACGTGTAAAGGTGGCCCACATCGCTGTAAAATTTCACGGCCGTAGGTCAACGCACGCCGCCGCAATAAGCGCTACAAAGTGACTACGTCGCACACGGCGGATTATTTAGGATTTATAATATAGACTAGAGGTACAGGTTTACGTGATAACTGTATGTTTTGATATGTATGATTAACGGATGCATTAGTTTGGGTGTAGAAACTTGCATTTTTATTGGTATGACTTTTGTAGAACTGGGTAACTGCTTTTAATTGAACTGTAAAGTATGATGGTGATGCATGCGAGTTGTTCGAGCCCTTTGTAAGTTAGGATGTTACTGAACGCAACCCTACCCTACCCTACCCTACCCTACCCTACCCTATCCTACCCCTACACTACCCTACCCTACCATACCATACCCTACCCTACCCTACCCTACCCTACCCCTACACTACACTACCCTACCCTACCCTACCCTACCTTACCACTACCCTACCCTACCCTACAATCCCCTACCCTACCCTACCCTACCATACCCTACCCTACCCTACCCTACCTAACTTTACCCTACCTAACTCTACCCTACCCTACCGTACACTACCCTACCCTACCCTACCCTACCCTACAATCCCCTACCCAACCCTACCATACCCTACCCTACCCCTACCCTACTCCTACCCTACCCTACCCTACCCTATCCTACCCTACCCTACCCTACCCCTACCCTACTCCTACCCTACCCTACCCTACCCTTACACTACCCTACCCTACCCTACCCTACCCTACCCTACCATACCCTACCCTACCCTACCTAACTTTACCCTACCTAACTCTACCCTACCCTACCCTACACTACCCTACCCTACCCTACCCTACCCTACCCTACAATCCCCTACCCAACCCTACCCTACAATCCCCTACCCTACCCTACCCTACCCTACAATCCCCTACCCAACCCTACCCTACAATCCTCTACCCTACCCTACCCTACCCTACCCTACCCTACCCTACCCTACCCTACCCTACCCTACACTGCCACCGACAATCCAAGTTTCAGCTAAATCGGCCCAGAAACGGCTGAGATATTGCAAAAACAAATTTATTGTATTTACTGGCGAATCCCCTTGGCGAGCGGTGCCTTGTGTCGGCCTTCGTTGTCTGATTATTTTCACTCAGGTTTTTAAGCGAACAACTGAGCCCAAAGCACGTGCCTTCTGCCCGGCGCCGGTCGCGGCCCCACCACGTGCACACCGCTGAACCCACCCCCTCGAAAATTTAATACGACAAATGAGTGCACGCGTCCGACTTGCAGTGAAAATTTCACCCCCGTAGCCCTTACCGTTCCCGAGAAATAGCGTGTTTTTGCCGATTCTAATGTTAACCCTATGGGCACGCGAGCACGCGCCAAGGGCGCACCCCCGGCCGCATCATGTCCAAAAGTTAATACGACCTACGTGTAAAGGTGGCCCACATTTCTGTAAAATTTCACGGCCGTAGGTCAACGGACGCCGCCGCAATAAGCGCTACAAAGTGACTACGTCGCACACGGCGGATTATTTAGGATTTATAATATAGATATCTTCATAAATGGCCAAGTTATACGCATTATTGCAAAAAATTAACAATTACTAATTTTTCAAATCAATTTTTTTTTCAGCACGTATTTGACATCGTACGCCAATATAAATAGCACCATCGTGTTCCTGAGCTCAAACTGCATCCAATAGACACCTTTTTTTGTTGAAAAATTGTAACTTCAAAATTTGACCTTTTTTGACCTGAAAGTGACCTGACCTAAGCTAAATGTGACTCAAAATGACCTCGAATGACACAGACGACATCAAATTCGAAATTTTTGGCCTAAATGGACCATAAAACATGTGTCACGTGACCGACGGATGATATAATATTTTTGTGACCTGTGATGACCTGACCTTGACCTGAAAATCAAAGTACAAGTTTGGTACCCTCAGAGTATCTAGAGCATCTGTTCACGAGTGTGTGAACCAAAAATGAGCCTGATCTGACTTGTAAGACGGCGGCCAGAGCCCAAAACGTGAAGAAGCCAAAATGCTAATAATTTTTACTTTGACCTGACCTGTGACGTCATCGGTGACCTCGAGGTCAATGAAATTAGGTTTCGCTCGACAGTTTTCCCGGGGCTATCAGACGCTGTTTGAATTTTGACGATCGGCCCAGTAGTTTCGGAGTTAGGAGGGGGGGGGGCTATGAATAGCCCCCCCCCCCCCCCCCAGTAGGGCATGTTATACGCAGACCCCAGTGGGGCGCGGGTTATCTATGACCGACAAAGCATCTTATGTTGATCGGGACGTGACGGAGCGTTCAGTAACCGTTAGGCTCCTAGCTCGCCGCGAATCGTATTTGATGCGGAGGACGAAATGAGCGTAACATGAACCGGCTGAGATTGCTAGCGTCTAATGAATATGATCAAACGTTTCATCACACGTTTCGGAACGAAGCCAATAAAGCCATCTATATACGGCAAATGGTTGTGCAATTCGGCTTGATCGGGATAGGATTATTCCCGGAATGCTGTAGGTATAAATATGTTGTCAGACCCCATACCATAACGATTCACCGGACAATAACTATACAGCCTCAGCGGCCGTCTGAACTCTCATCTCCTCCTCGTCCGTCCACTCGGCCCGCCGCTCTGCTAAAGCTCTGATCGGTTGGTGACCTGACCCCTCTGCGCCAGGTCCGACCCGGCGCTAGTTCGTTCTACTCACCGATTTGATCTCGATGACGTCTGGCTCTGCAGCAGCTGCCGGTGCCGGTGCCGGCGCGGGCGCGGCCTGCTGCGGCACGGCCACCGGCTGCTGCACGTGCTGCTGCGCCTGCTGCACGGGCACGGCTGCGGGCTGCGGCAGCGGCGCGATGGCCGTCGTCGGCATCGGCGCCAGGCCCTGGGCGGCCATGGAGCGCTGCCGGGCCACCTCGATGACGCGCTGCATCTCTGAGCGCGAGCTGAGCAGCAGCGTCACCTGGGCGTTCTGCAGCCGGCCGCCGGTCTTCATCATGGCCTGGCGGGCGTCCTCGTCGGAGCTGTGCCGGGCGGACAGAGTGACGGTGTGATCGGCGGCCCGCACCTGCTGCCCGACCGGTGCCGGGCGGCCGGCGGCAGAGCGGGGCACACGGGGGACGGGGAGGGGGCTCCCAACAGCGGCACGGCACGGCACGGCACGGCATGACAGGAGTCATAGTTAAGCTCATTGCGATTCATGATACGATCCTATTTATCGGTCGTGTTGCATGAACAAACAAGATACAGGCTACAGCAGTGAAACTGTGCACATCACACCATCATCACCAACCCAATCACATGTAGGATCTCAGCAACTGACCAATCAAACGGCCCCTACACAAATACCTAAGCATTCTACAAAAAGGAGCAGCAATGAGACGTAGATAAGAAACAAGTGGTTTGACTGGGCATTTGATACATTCGTGCGAAGTTTACGAATAGATGTGTGGTGGTATAAAAATATGCTCTGAGCATTCCTATCAGAAATGACAGCTGCTCGCTAGTCGATGTCTTCAAAGTTCATCATTTCTTAAAAGTTGGCTCCCGCTCTTCCTTCAGCATAATTTGACTCCCAAACGATTACCTAAGTTTCTTCATTGTGTTACATTGTACTGTATCTATCGAAATCACTCGAAATGTGAGAAATCATTTTCGATATCATTGTAGGTAAGGTATTCTAATATTTATAAACAACTTGAATCATCATCAAATCAGCTTCATTCGGGCCGTTGGTCAAGAACCATTCGATTAGCCCGAGTCATGACGAGGGAGGCTAGAGAGCTAGTGGGTAGGGGAAGGAGGGTGAATTGCGCCACGTTAACCCTCGCCGGACCCATTGGTTTTCAACGTACGCGCCGGCCGAGAGGGGGGGGGGGGGGGGTACGATCCTCCGCCGTTTCGCCCCCGATGGAACTAGCGCCCCGCGAAAAAAAAAAAACGAGCGTGAGCGCCGTTACGAGACGCAGCGACTGGTACCCGATTTTAAGGGCTCAGGTCAACCGGTGACCTCTGAAGTCAGTTCAAGTGATCCAAGGCACGAGTTTGGTCTTTGGTAATAACTTCACAAAAAAATGGCCGAAGAGCCGCGATTTTGGCACCATCGTGTTCGCCTTGCTCAGGCGCGTCGTCGAATGGTATGATGTTTATTTGGGAGAGGTCAAGTTCAGATGTTGACCTCGGGTCAAGGTCAGGTCAGAGCCCCCAGGCCACGAACTTGGTCGAATGGGGTCATATCGCATATCATTCGATTCGGCAGGTCTTCCCGAGTCCATTGGTGGCTTTCCCAACTCGCCAGCCCACTTCGACGGGGAGTTATTGACGAAAAACTTTTATAACCCTAATTCCGTCATACATAACGTAACGCAATGTCAACAATGCAAAAAAGTCCATGCGGGGTGGGGGGGGAGGGGCACCCCCTCGGCCAGCAAGGGTTAAAGAAAAAAAGCTAATTGTAAGAAAATCGTTTGAGACATCAATATGCAATGTTAACCATTTCACACAGGAGCTCTTTGGCTACGATTTAAGAGACTCCCGATCAACCCCCGCAAGTTGTAGCCACACATCTTCAAAAATAGCGAAGTTATACGCATTATAGCAAAAATTTCACAAATATTAATTTTTGAAATCATTTTTTTTTCGGCACAAATTTGACATCGTACACCAATACGAATAGCAGCATCGTGTTCCTGAGCTCAAACTGCATCCGATAGACACCTTTTTGTTGTTGAAAAATATCAACCTTAAAAGTTTACCTATTTTGACCTGAAAGTGGCCTGACCTAAGCTAAATTCAACTCCAAATGACCCCGAATGACATAAACGACATCGAATTCGAAACCTATGGCCTAAATGGACCATAAAACATGTGTCACGTGACCGATGCATGATACAGGATTTCCGTGACCTGTGATGACCTGACCCTGACCTGAAAATCAAAGTACAAGTTTGGTACCCTCAGGGCATCTAAAGCATCTGTTCAAGAGTGTGTAAACAAAAATGAGGCTGATCTGACTTGTAAGACGGCGCCCGGCGGCCAGAGCCCAAAATAAAAACAAGCCAAACATCGATGTTTACTTTGACCTGACCAGTTACGTCATCAGTGACCTCGAGGTCAATGAAATTAGGTTTCGTTCGACAGTTTTCCGGGGCTATCAAATGCCGTTTGAATTTTGCGATCGGCCCAGTCGTTTCGGAGTTAGGAGGGGAGGGGGCTATGAATAGCCATACTTTTGCGACGATATCGTCGCAACGCGAAGAGATAGAAAAGCGAAACTTTGCACACATCGTCTTGGATACCTAGCTGAGGTTGTGTCCAAATTTCGTGTCGATCTTATTTGAAATGACGTCACAGTGACGTCATAGGTCAAATTATAGATTTGCGACACTCGCTTTGCTCACGATATATGTATATGATATATGAGACCGATTACAAAGGACCAAATATTGGTCAGGAACTAGTTGGAAGTGTGCTTAGATGTTTAAGGATGACAGCAGGTGCTGTCTAGTTCATATACTGTTGAGCTTCATGCTCAGCGACATCAGAAACGGTCAATATCGGAAAACGACAGTTCATAACGTCACTGTGACGTCATCTTAGGTGCTACAACCACCAAACTTTCCTCTAACATTGCCTAGGTATTCAAGCTATGCCAAGTTTGACCTTCGTAGCTCATCAAGTTTCAGCGATATTCCACAAAACGTAAAGGGGGGGGGGTGACTCTACGCCCCCCAGCGGCTCGTGGGTTAAGACCCACTGGATCCATACTTGGCCGTCATACCCTAACATCAACGTCAAAAGTTCAGCACGATTTTTCTGTGAGGACTATTTGATGCAGGCAGAGCAAAACCACGGTGAATGAACACTGAAGGTATGCGAGTGTTACCACAAGTGATTACGGATTTTTAACTTCATGGTGCTGCACACAAAACTTTACACAATATACGTACTGTTGATGTTTCCAATAAAATTAGTGTTTTAAAAGAAGTGGGAATAAAAGAAGGTCTCGAGTCAACCAGTGACCCCTGAGGTCATGTCAATCAAGTGACCAAAGGCACGGGTAAAAAAAACGGTCGAAACAACGCCACCATTTCGGCATAATCGTATTCGCCTCGCTCAGGCGTGTCAAACGGTATACTTTTTGTTCGGGTAAGGTCAATGAGGTGTTGACCTCGGGTCAAGGTCAGGTTAGAGCCCCCAGGTCACGAAGCGGGTCAAAGGAGGCCATATCGCACAGCGTTCGGTTCGGCAGGCCTTCCTGAGTCCATTGGTAGCTTTCCCGACTCGCGAGCTCAATTTGCTCGGGAGTTATCGACGACAAACTCGTATGACCCTAGTGACGTCATAAATGAGGCCACGCAAGGTCAGCAATGCGAAAGTGAAACATCGGACCTTGAAAGGAGTGCATGAAATCATGATTCCGTGTGCTTGAGATCGTTTCCGGCGCCAAAATAGCAGTTTTTGTTTTTCACCGTTGACTTATGATGGTGAAGTCACCTGACCGACCTGAAGTCGTGTGACCTTTAGGAAAAATCCGAGATATAAAAGTTGAAAGACCTCTGGAGGATATTAGGTCCTGTAAGTTGCATCTGCTTGTGAAACCTGTCCTGGCAATGAGGGCGTTGCGAAGTTGCGACATCTGAGGACCGTGCAGCGGTTCACGTATGACGTCATAGGTCAGTGACCTGACCTGACCGGACAATGCGGTTGGTGCCAATGATCATCAGATCGACTCGCACCAGGCTAGTCCCGGACAAATGTTGTTTGCCGAGAGCGCCGATTCGCAACGCATGCAATGGGAGCTGCATGCGTAACGTCTACCTACCCGCAGGTAGGTACGTGACAACCTTATACAGAATACAATATAATCGCTCCCCATTTAGGCATATTTGCGTAAACATTAGGCTGTAACAATCTCTGTAACAATCGCTATTTTTCTACACACGACCGAAGCGGTTGGTGGAACCCCCTCGCCGTCATAGGCGGCGGAACGGGGGGGGCTTGATTTTGCCATTTTAACATTAGCCCTATGGGCGTTGCATGGAAAGAATGGGACGAAAAGTCGGCAGTGCCCCCCCCCCCCAATTGAAGGTGTTCCGCCGCTTCTGCTCGCCGTCCCCTTCCAAACTGAGCCAGACCCTCGCCGAAACAACGAGCGTGTGTGCCGCATATCATTCGGTCTATCAAGGTCTTTTCGCATATCATTCTGGAGTCCTACACCGAGTGACCGATCGCTTTGAAACTTTCGGCGATTGATGAGAGCAGCAGCAGGTATCAAAATGTACCTATATATAGGACTACGAATTTCTCGAGATCTCGGCCCCTCGAGATCTCTGAATTTCGATATCGGTGGCCTAGGGTCAGGTCAACTTTGCGACCTCCCATTGCGACCATTATAAGTTAATGGGAGACAACTGAAAGGCGCCTCTTTTGAACGAACGCATTCCAAACACTCTCGAACACTGCATTACAAGTAACTATGACTGGACACACTGAACGTGAAAATAGCACCAGTGACTCCTGCTTAGTGTTTATGTCCCTGAGGTCATCTCACGTCACGAAGGGTAGGTACATAAACAGTTTTTTTTTCGCGAATAACTGTTGATAGACGCATGCTAGAGCGATGAAAACGCCTTAGATGCGTTTAGCCCGACGACACGGATCGAATGATATACAACATGTCATGGCATTGACCCGAGGTCAAATTTTCATGTTGACCTTTCAAGGTCAAATTATAGTTCATTCGATACGTCTTGACAAGGGGAACACGGTGCCGGTAAAAGTAAGGTCGTATAAGGTGTGAGTCGAAAGTTATTGCAGAAAATTGGTCTATTTTGGCAGTTTTTGCCCCCTGCAAGCCAAACCGTTGACGTTAGGTCAAATCCGAGAGAAATACTCAGAAAGAGCGTTAATAATGCAATCCAACGCGCTTTTCCGGGCCGCTGTAGCTCTATTAGTTTCCGAGTTATGCGTCAGCTCGTTATAAGTTTTCCACATTCGATCTGCAAAATCGAGGAAATTTGGC